CTAAAATGTGTGCTAATGTGCCAATGGGACCTAAAATGTGTCCTAATGTGCCAATGGGACCTAAAATGCGAGCTAAAGTTCTGTTCTGTCCCTAGGGTGGACCCAGAGAAGACTCCCCTCCATGGACACAGAGGACTTTGAGACGATTCCCTCCAGTGGAGAAGAATCCTCCAACTCTTCTGAGGATGAAAGCAGCAATAAGAATGTATGTGGCTGTTAAACAAGATTCAAACACACATAGATTGATTATAGTCTGTAGTGGCTGAACTTAAACAGCTACATAATAAAAATATCTTTATTTCACATTTAATTTTATGAAACTTTGTGAATTATTGACACTAAGAATGACTTAATAAAGAACCAGATGAAACAAGATGGCTTTTACATAAATCATCCCTTTATTTCTGCATTGTCCACATTTCCTCTCATCTCTGAAATCACTTTCAGTTTAAAACAACTGGTTCCTTCTGCAGCTGAATTAGTTCTTCATGACCAACTGACATTTAAGAGAGAAAAGAAACTTTTATACTTCTATAAATCAGTGTTGACTTCCCTGAAATCAGCACCCTTCTTCCTATGCAGTTAAAGCCACACTAACATATTGGAAAATAAATTGATCAACACTTTTCAAATAATTCACTGACATTTCTCTAACAAAAGCCGAGATGCAGCTTCTGTGTTTATCAGTAGAAGGAAATTATGAATAGTATCTGTAGATAGAGCAGTTGGACTAAATGGAAATTAATTCATAACTTTTTGTTCTGGTTGCATGATTTATTTACAAAGATATCATGACCTGTAGACCAAAGCTAATTAAGATCAGAGTATTTTTGGAGCTTTTAATGCAGTAGGAAGGCCTGTAGTTTCTGTAATCTGCGATGCTTTAAACTCATTTCTTCCTACAGGCTGACAACAGTCGCTACCGGGTGCAGCTAACGTATGCAGCATGTGAAGCCAAGGATCTCTCTCTGGAAACCAAAGACATGGTTCAGTTTTTGGAGGAAGCAGAAACTGGAAATTGGTAGGTTTTATTATTTCATAAAGTTTCAGTTTTTAACCTTTTCAAGGTCTTAGAGGAAGTTTGTCTAAGACTGTTAACAGTATCTGTCTTTAGTATCTGGAACTCCTAAATATCAAACAGTTCCTCCGTTTCAGTAAACAAAGTGATTTTTTCCAACTGTTTTCAGCAGGGCTGCTTGTTGTCAGGTTTGTCTCTATGGTCGATGTGGAATCAGCAGGTGTTGGACCCCCGCTGACTCAGTCTATTTAGTTCATAGCAGTTTTTTTATTTAAAGGAACAGAAACTGCATATTAATCATAAAACCTTAAAGAGGAATATTCATTTGATTGAGTGAAATATTGATTTTGAGCTGAAGGCAGCCGATGGTCAGCAGGTCACTTCTGTTTGTTCTTTTCTTTTTCACCATTTATGCCCAGTCCATCAAGGTAGAAACCGTTCACACGGACCCTGGTTCTGCTGAAGGTGTCTTCCTGTTAAAGGGTTGCTGCATGCATGCTAAGCATAACCAACCGCTGCAAAGAAACGATGCAAACCATAACTCACTGAAGCTACAGGCAGTTAGATGTTATTTAAAACTGAATAGAGGGCTGATAAAATTAGCATTCTATGTTAGGTGCATGTGTATCCTTGGCACAGGTTGACTGACGGATGTGTTTTAGTTATGTTTCATTTTAATTTGAACAGAACTTGTTACCACTGTCTTACTAACTTTGACTTCAAAATCTAAAATGGCTGCCTTGCATCGCACCTCTGGGATGCAAAGAGTGATGTCACCATGAGAGCCAGAGGTGCCTCATTGTGACATCACTCTTTGAAACCGTTTGCCGTAACCCTTTGCCAATCAAATCTGCTAAAAGGCAGAAAATTCTCTCTGTGCAGGTTTTGCTTTGTGACACAGAGCAGATAATCCAGAGACATTGGATGCAAACTTTATTTACATGTGTGGCTTCATCAATATGCAGATCACATTCTGGTAAACAAGCTGTGCAAATGCATGGGGGGGGGGGCACGCAAATGTAAACATTTAGCGTATGCAAAGTGATTTTCCAAATCCAACTCAACAGTATATTTTAGTATATCAGGTCTGAACTGACATCTGCAGTCGTTGTCGTCCTAAAGGAGGCTTTAATAAAACCATAGAGAGAAGAGAATAGATCCGTAAATAAAAGTGATCCATAAAAGAATCGCTCGCAGAAATGATCCAGAAGGATTTTAACTGAGAGGAATTCATTATACTGATACTTTATAAATATCAGACATTAGCTGGATGCTAATATGGCATCATTTGCTATTCTGTTTCTTTCCATGTGTTTTTATTGTGAGCCTCATCTCAGGTCACTTTATAGATCCAAGTCAACCAGATCAGTGACTCTGCTGGATTTATTGATGAATCTTAGTTTATTTTTCATGGTGTCTAGCATGGAGTTGTGGGAGGCGGGTGGAAAAAGGACCTTCTGATGAGAACTGCGTCTGTTTCCTCCCTGATCTTTATGAGCAAGCCGCCTCTGCTTGGTGGCTGTTTGGATAAAAGAGCTTTTTCTGTAAGATAAAAGTTCGTCTCGCTGTAACTCGGCTCGTTTTTCATCGACTCATGCATATTTCCAGACCGTCTCCTGTCGTCTTCATCTATGGGCTTTAAAAGGTCTCTCTCTCCCAGACTCGCCTCCATGAGGAGCATGAAGAATAACCTATAGATTATCCACACTTAGTGGATCATACAGCTTTCTTCATGTTTTAATGTATTTTGAGGGGATTCTGAACTATGCTGTTTGGGGGGGGGGTAACTAAATGAACTTAGTTGCTACTAATTTACGGCATAAAGGAAATAAAGCAGCGTTTCCTCAGAGTTACTGAGTTTTCCTTTGTGTTGGTCTGACAGCTGAGGCCTGATCTAGCGGCTCAGTAGATGAGCTAGCAGCTAACGCTAATGATGCAATAAACCTTCTCCATCTGTATGAACCTGTCAGAAATCCACTAAAGGTCACTGAGGGGAAGATCTCTGTTCCTACATTTCAATGTTCTCTGGCTTCAACTGAAAGGCCAGGCTGAACCATAAAACAGCCTCTTGTTGCAAATGACCTCTGGTTTTCACCTGCAAACATTTCCATGGCAACGGTCACCCGGATTCATCAAAGGAGGAGCATTATTGGGTGTTTTTTCTTCATTTGCTTCGTCACAGTGTTTGTAGCACTGCTGCCTTGGTCTGGTTCCTGGCCCAGGGTCTTTCTGCACCATGTTTGCAGGATCCTGGATTCTGGGTCCAGATCAGTCGATGAGGTCATTGCCTACCCCATGTGACCAGATAAAACAGACACATTAAAGCAAATATTGGACTGTTTCGTTGGGACTTCACCTGAGACTCCCCCTTCCTGGAGCTGGTTAGATTAAAAATGTTGGCATGGCTGAACCAGAGAAAGCAAGGAAAAGAAAAAAACAAAACAGTTTAATTGATTTATTTTCTCTGGACAGATATCCTGTTATTCCATCTCTGGATGTCTGAACATTGTTACTGTTTAAAAACTGATCAAAGTTGAGGCGTTAGTCTTTAACGACCCCATGAGGCCAGGAACCATTGGAGGGCTTTAGACGCTCGTTTGAGCTTCTCAGTTTATTTGAATAATTTAACCCAAACCACCTTTTACCAAATTAAGACTAATATACAGAAAAATCTATGATCTCATTTTCTGGTACTCAAACCTTCCTTTGCACCGTTTTTATTATCCCTGGGATCAGTGAAATTCCTGGAAAGCAGTGTCATGGTTTTTACATTTTGGACTTTGAGTTTTCAGTAATTCTGTTTTGTTGATCTTTGGTTTATTTTCCATTTCATGTTTTTTTTAAAGATAGTCTTTAGTTACTCTCTGTCGCCCTCTGGTGCCTCCTTTCCCCTTAGCTCATTAAAAAGTAATAATACTCCATTACTTTCTGAAATGTTTTCATGTTAAAACCCAGAGGATGAACGTCTTCTTATGGAGCTTTTGTGCATAAAAACTAAATGGTTGTAACGTGTTTCTAAAGTCGCTGATTCTTGATGCTGCTGGATCAGCTCCCAGTTAGTGCTGAATGTTTATCCCTGCATCGTCGTTGGATGTTTCTCAGCTCCAGCCCCAGACAGATGATGTCCTCCAGCTTTAGATGCACACCTGCTCTAATTCACCTGCTGACAGCGAATGGCTGATTATCAGGCTAACCCTGATAGCCGACGGATTCAGAGTCAGAGATGCATCGAAAACGACCGATGAGCCTCAATTATTCTTTACTGCTGCTGGACTTTAAAAGTCTCATTTCGATTAAAAGTGGTCTTAGATTTATACTTAGACAAACTTTATTATCTTTTTTATGCACTGAATGTGTTTATGCTGAACGACATGCAGCCTGTTTTCTATGCTGCATCTCTTCCTCCTCAGTTCTACGTCTGCTTTGCTTCCTTAGGTGGATTAGAGGAGAAGACGATCAACTTGTTTAACATTTGAGGAATTTATCCTTTGATTGTTTTATGTCTTATCAGAGCTTGTTCCTTCTTCATCTTTTCAATGTGATTGATTTGGTTGGTCGTAGAATTTATTCTCCGTTTCTGAAGCCTCTCTGGAAAGCAGTGAAGCATCGTCATGTTTGTTTTGTTTTGTTTGCTGTCTGTAATGACTGCCTCCGTCTGCCTTCCTTTAAATGAATTCTTCCTCAGTCTGGATTGTGCATTTCTATACTGACTACTACAAATGAATGTGACCAAGAGTATTTGTCATGTTTTTACAGCAAACCTGAACAAACTCTCTTTATGTTGTTTGTTTTCAGACATCGTCAGTGATCTCTGCACAGCAGCTCAGAGTTTGAAGAAAATGACGTCAGCACTTGGACAGATGGACGGCAAACAAACATCCATCAACTGATATGAAAAGCTTTGAACAAGTTGTAGATCTTTTTGATGGACTGCAGGTCTACCTTTCTGTTCTCATTTTTTCTCTTTAATTCTCTGATCTTTGCTGCAGCAGACCTGGAAAGCCTGAAATCATTTTAATCCAATGTAGCAGAGCAATTATATCCACTAACTGCTTTCCATACTTTCATATATGCAGTCTCCTCAGAAATTATTCAGACCTTTATTTATTACACTTTTGATTTATTATTATTCTTGATTTTATTTAAACTATTTTTGGTAAAATGTATGAAATATTTAAAGAAGGAAACTTAGATTAATTTACATAGATACATTTAGCTAAAGCCTTATTAAGTGTTGCCTTTTTCCAGACAGGAAACATTAAAATAAACTGGCGACAGAAAAAAATGTGAACATCTTTTTATAATGCAGTTATTTAAATAAAAGGCTCTTAAATTTTCACCTTACCAGCAAACAGAGACGGGAAAATTCAATAAAATAAAGCTGCTTAATTCTGTAAATCAGTGCAGGAGTGAAACATTAAACTTAAAAGCTTAAATATCCAGACAGTTTCTTCATTTATTGTCTTTTATGACCAAGCAAAGTTTTTAATTCTAACCAGTAAGAATGGAAAAGGCGTCTCCTTCCTTCTATAAGGAATGGGCGGGAAGAACGCTGCTGCTTCGGAGTAACGGTGGATGGATGGGTTGATCATGGCAACATTAAAATAAATCAATCATAAGTTTTCTGCAGCTGTTTGAGGCTCAATAGAAAATCTAAACCCTTTCAGCACAGAGAGAACATGCAGATTTCATGCAAACCCCAGATCATCTCTGTACGGCCTCAGTTTATTACAAACACACAAAAATAGAAAGATGTTCTTTAAAGAATGAAGCAACTGAAAGGGTTTGAATATTTCCTGAGGAGACTTTTTGACTTTATCTTTTAATGTCTGTAAAATTGCTTGAAAAATGCCTGGATTGTTTTAACAGGATGAGAAGTCGTTTCTTACAAGATTTTAAGTGCAAATACTGAAAAACATGCTGGTAATGCTAGAATATTCCAGTTTTTATGTGACTCAGGATCATAATGGCAACTTCTGCACATAAAGGGAGAGTTTAGTTGAGTTTCTACCAAACTGATGAACTGGTGCATCCTGACAGAGCGGCTGCAGTTAAATGAAGGGGCGCTCTGCTCCATCCACAGCGAGATGTTATGACCCTTCAAGTGGAAAAAGTCCATGATGTATAAAGAAAGCATCGTCTGCAGCGTCAATACATGCAGCCATGCTTAAATGACTATATCTGGCTTTTTCATATAAAGTGAACTGATTTGTGCAACATGAACACATTTCCTCTTTCATCTGAGAAAATCTAATTTAAAACAAATTCCTTTATCAGCTAATGATAGTTAAATCACTTCCCAGCAGAAAAATAAATCAAATCTAATGTGTTTTCTGCTTTGAACATAATCATGGGAAGAAGCCAGATGGCCTTCGGAGGAAATGATCGTTTCTGTTTTCAGAAACTGATTTGTCTCCATTTTCTGTTATGCTTCATGTCCCAGAGAGAAAAAAAACAAAAAACTCACTCATTTCTACATAATGAGATTCTGCTAAGAACATTTCACACTTTGATTTGTTGTTTTCCTGCTGCACACAGTCAGGGCACATTCTAATATTTTATCTACAGTATTTGTTTGAAGGGCTGCACAAGTATTAGAAATGGGAAAGTAAATGTTATCTAATTGGTCATATTCCAAGTGTGAATGTCTTAAAATCAGTTTGATGCAGTTTCTCACATCGTTTCTGCAACAACGTCACATTTTACAGTGCAGGTCAGACAGGAAGGACCCGGCAGCTGCACAGTTTCCATTTACTGACCTCACTATGACATGCAGTCAACAATTACATCACAGTATTTGCTTTTTAAGATTATAAAAAATATTCTTACCAGTTTTGCATTTAATAATCTAGCAAAGGGGCCCTTTTTGTGATAGTTGCCACTTTAAATCAGGGAACCAAAAAACTATTTATGCTTATTGTCATCTAAAGCATTTTGAATAAAAACTTTTCACCAATGAGCTGCAAACATCTGCAGAGAATTCATTTCTGTCTCAGTACACTGTAAAACCGAATACGCTCAGAATGATAAAACTTTACTGGAAACAGAAAACTTCAAGGTTTTTCAGTAAATAACTGGAGTGTTTAGATTTTAACTCCTTAACATTTTTTCCAGTATTTACGTTTGATGTAAAACGGGTCACAACTTCAAACTTTAATACTTAAGTTTATCAAACAGTTTGAAGTTTTCTGTTTCCAGAAAAGTTTGAGGTTTTCTGAACTCTTTAGGTTGGCCGTCTGGGAATAAACTGTTATTTCTGAATAATATTAAGCAATACTTCATCATTTATTGGCATCATTTTCTTCTGGCTGTACTGTGGGTCCATCTCCTCAGACATTTCTACTGATGAAACTTTCTTCTTCAGCTTCTTTCACTGATCCAGATGTTGTAAAAGATGAATCCTTTTCTGGAAATGCTTTATGTTAGAAAGTATCATGCAAAATGTTTTTATCTTTTAAACGTTGAAATGGACCATGTCATCATGTTGTTTATGTATCTTATAATGTATATAATGTTCATGCTGATAAAATGAAATTATAATAGGAAAACTCTTTTCCAGTTTCTTAGATTTTTTATTTCAAACATGTAAAAGTGTGTTTTAATAACATAGAGCTGTTTATAAGGATCTGTTTTAATCCCTGATGTGATTTCTGTAAATCTGGTCTAAGATAATAACCTGAAGCCACCTTCAGTTAATCTAGAAGACTTGGCAGCATCTGATGGATGGATGGATGGATGGATGGATGGATGGATGGATGGATGGATGGATGGATTCAATTCATTTCAATTCAGCTTATTTATATAGCGC